TCTTCATATGGTGACGGTCGATTTTAATTTTACGATTTTTTTTACGACCCTACTATATGAGTTGACGGAAAAAAGTGAATGTGAAGTTTTTCTTTCGGTTTGTTTCCAAAACTGAAAGGAAAGTGCTTGATATCACGAATTACAAAACAGTGGAGGTTATTTGGTTGGTGGATTCGTACTCCGATTCGAATTATGATTCATGGTTCGCTATAGTATTTTCTCTCATAAAAAAATACACATAAATCAAAAATAATTCTAATCTTATTATTTTAATCCATAAACTAAACGTACTCAAATATATCTCGAATCATCCACGTCAGCTTTTTTAAAGTTAAAAAGTAAAACAATAAAAATTCACAACTATTTCTTGTCGTCGGGGTTCTTTCCTTTCTTTCTTCTGCTCTTTTCTTTTAATGCCTTCCATGCGAATTTGTCATTACACCTCACTCATCTCATCCTCTTCAAGTTGTCAATTGGGTACTGCATCTATATGAAGATCTTGTCGTTCTTACACCACAATCTTCTCAAGTTTTTTTCTTTTTCTTTTTCTTTTTCTTTTTTTCTTTCTGGGTGACTTTGATGATATTTGGTTGGGTTCTTTGTTTCATCGGAATTTTAATAGCTGATTGTCCAAAATCTTCAAAAATACATAAAACCCATAAGTCTCACTGAAAAAGGGAGGAAAATGAACAGTGATATGCATTGAGGATTGCAATTTATGAACAAAAGATAAAAAATTTTCAAAGGGTTTGGCCACCATCAACCTGCCGGATCCCAAACCTGCAAAATCGAATGATTTCCGGCATGTATTTGAAAGATTTACCATCAGATACGAAGGGATTCTTTTTTAATTTTCCATGCGACTTTTCCAGCAATTTTTCCAGCATTCTGGGTATGATTTTCTCTGCATTTGGTCATAATTCCCTCTAGTTTTGGTTGTGATTTTTCTGGATTGCGTGGGTTAGTTTCTTCCACAACCCAAGAACACAGTAAAAAGAAATTACAAAAAGAAACTAATAATATTAATAATAAAGAAAGGAAAAATGCCGCCTGGAGCAAGGGAGTCAAATTAAAAGGAAAGGATTGAACTTTTTGGTAATTTCGTGTTAGCAGCATTTATATTCAACCACGTGTCATAACCTTGGGAATTTGTGTTATAAATCACAAATGGAACGTTTAGTTCATAAATTTAAAATCATAATTTATAATTTTAATTTTTAAAATTTAAATTTTTTATGAGAAAAAAATATTATAGAGAATTAAGTATTATAATTTAAAATAATAGACGAATATTTGAAATAAATATCTCAATAATTTTCTTCTGAAGTGTAGACGAACTCAAAGTGAAAACAATACAGTTGATAGATTTTTTTTTTCTTTTCCTTTCTTGAAAGCTACTAAGAAAAATGTTTGGGCTACGCACCACAATTAATAAAAAATAAATCCGTGATATAAGAGCCACCTCCTTTGGCGTGTGATGCATATAACCACCAAGTGCCTTATAATGTATAATACTATTCAAGCAAATAAAGGGCTCGACCTAGGACAAAATATTCAGACCATGAGTGGGTTTGATTTTAAGAGAGAAAAAGCACTGATTCAGATAGTTAAAATCTAAAAATTTATTTGGTAAAATAGATTTTTAAATAATTTATTTTTAATTTGAAGCTAAAAACAGAATTAACTTAAAGGCTAGATCTGATTTTAACTCACGCGGGAATCAATTTTGAGGGTTTAATGAAAATTTTACCTCCAATGAAATCCGAAATTGACAACCCCAGAAACACATTTTCATTTCACAATTCGGTATCTCCTCCTCTCTGTTATCTCTCTCATCTCCTCACTCCTCTGCAAAAAAAATTGAGTTTTGTCCTCTCTCCTCCTCTCCGTTCGAAGCGATCTTCCCGGCTCCGTTCGCTGGTCTCTCTCTCTCCGTTCGCCTGTCGGAGCTCATTTAGTTTCTCCTCCGCGCGATTGTCGGTTTGCCGGTCTCCCTTCTCCTCCTTCGACTGCCCGTCTCTCGTCATCAGATCAAGAGGTAAGCCTCTCTAACCGCACGATTTTGGGTTTGGTTCTGATTTTGAACATTTGGATTTGAACTGATTTTTAGTCCGCATATATTTTGGGTTTTAGGGTTATGATTTTTTGCATAAAAAAAAAACACTTAAGCATTGTTGAAAGTGGGTTTGCCGAATCTGGTTGGAGCTCACCATCTCTGCATCTGTAAGTACTTGATTGGGTTATTGGGTAGCAAAAAGTCGAGTAAAACAACAAATATCTACAACTGTTTTATAATGGAAAGTACTTGTGCTCAGATAAGCTAAATTCGAGGCTGGGATTTATGTTAGTGATGATTTGGGCGTTTTTGATTGGGGATTATGTACAAATTTGCTGATTTTTAGTTTTTTATTGAATTAAATGGTTGTTTCAGGTGAGTTTGAGTGCCTTCGAGTTCTTGTTTTCAGAGCTTGTGCAGTACAATCAGACACAAGTTGACAACATTGCCGAGTTAGAACGGAGGTGATTTAAATTTTCTTGGAATTACGCCTGGGTGCATTTAGAGAATCCAAAAATTTCAAATATATATTTGTTGATTGCTTCTGAAAGTCTGATTCTATTGATTATTGAGTGTCGAGTTTGATTGATATTTATTGAAAACTGAGCAGGTTGGAGGACGCAGGTTATGCGGTTGGTGCTCGAGTTCTAGAACTGCTTTGCCATGGGGATAAGGTACAATAATACTTCGTTGGTGTTCTATTAATGACGTACATAAGCCATTCATGACTTTTGGTTTAGTATGGGGCTCTTTGCCCCATTTTTGTAATCAGTGGGAAATGAAAAGTTGTATTTTGAGTTTTAAAACGTTGGATGTAATAGCTGTCCAATGTTTATAAATTATTCGAGTATAGCATTCATTTTGCTTGTAGCCTGGTACTAAATACACACACTTTCAAAGGGGAAAAAAAATAAAAGTAGTGATATACGTAGATTTTTGTTCAAGTTCTTATTTTGGAGCATGAATATACAATCTGGTTTGGAAATTATGGGAAAATTGCAGCAATTTAAAACAATATCTCGATGTAATCTAACTGTTGGATCCTTTTATCTTCTATCATGTGCTTAGCATGCGAGTTGGCTGTATGCCATTATCTAGGTTGAAGATGGAAGAAATTGTACATGAACATTTGTATGCCTTAGCGACATATTTGAGCACTCCTTTGCTATTTGGCAATGCTATCCTCGTTTGGAAATTTCTTGATTAATGATAAAGTCAAAGATACAGTCATTTTGTACTCACTATTGGACACGAGTTCCCACAAAAGAATAGCTAGGACATGAATTAGAAGCTTTAAAATGTAATAACGATTAAAATATCAGGTCTTTAAGCATGATTAATAGATAGCCGTTATTAGGATAGGCTGGAGTTATGATACTAGTGGGATTTAGAAAGGATAAATACAAAACATCCCGTCTTTGATCTAATTATGGCATTCCACCCTATGTATGTTTTCAGGAATGCTGCACTTATCCCCTACGTTTTACAAACCATGTTAAAAACCTCCAAAGAAGGGATTTTTTAACACGACTCGATTCTCTCCAGAGGTTTTTAACAAGATTTGTAAAACGTAAGGGATACTTTTAAGTTTTAACATGTTTGTAAAACAAAGGGATAAATGCAATATTGTTGAAAACATAGGGTAGAACATAACATTTTGAAATAGTGGGCAGGTTTCTGTTATATCCCAATTTATTATATTTTCTTGCAGATTTTTGAGAAGAACCCCACCAAAATTGATAATTATAGTATTTGGTTGCGTTATCAAGACTGCAATTATCCCTGCCAAACTTTGCAAGAGAGAGTACAAAACAATTCCACAACTCGAAGATAAGTTTCCATTAGTGTACAAGAAGGTCATGCCACCAATTAGGAAGCTGAAGACCACATATAAGGCATCAAGGCCCAACTTGTTTATGTAATTTGGTCATTTGACGATCAAGCTTTTAACTTGTTTATGGAATGTACATTTTTGTTTAACAAATTGATCATTCACTAATGCTCTTTTTAGTTGTAATTATATTGTGAATGAAGAAATGAAAAAAAAAAAAAGAATTAATTATCATAAATTTATTATTAAAAAACTCAAAATCATAGCATTATGATTTTTTTTTTAAAGTTAAACAAGTATTTCTAAATATCAAAAATAATTCTATATATTTAAATTTCATACCATGTCTATTTTGATCATTTTACATACCTACAGTAATTTAATCTCAAAATTTATCAAATGCTATTACATTGATTTTGAAATCAGTACAGCTATTATAATTACAATTTATCAAACACTCAGTTGCTTCTTGTAACATCTGTTTCTTCATTCAGCACAGCTAAAAGCAATTTTTTTTTAAAATCCACAACGCTACTAAACTAAGCCCATGTTCGGTTGAAAAACCTAGCTCAAATCCCAAATTTGGAATTTAGCAACCTCTCAATTCCTGAATTTGAACCCTCTTGCTAAAAAAATTTGTCATTTTTCAGTTTAAACCAAAATGGTTCAAATTGCATAGGCCCATTTAGTTTGTTGGTTTGAATTTTCAATTCGAATTGAGATGTGATTTTATGCGAAAACTTTTTACTGACAAAAAAAATTAAAATATGACTACTTTTGAAAACTTTTTACTATAGTAAAACTCAAATTCTAAACTCAAATCGGTAAAATAAACGGGACTTATAAATTCCAACTGCAAACCAAACGAGTCTTAATACTCAAATAAAGAAAAGAAGATAAAAAATGGATCGTTTTGGTTTTTTTCTAGAAAATTTTAAAACCCCAATAAAAGATTAACTATTTTCACATTAATGAAAGCATTTGCTTATTTGTAGAAGAGTACCCAACCTGTCTAGTTTTCTTAGGTTATTTCACTTGAAACAAAAGGAAACAAAAATGCCAAAGCCAAACTAAACAAGACATCTTTCTTGGTATTCTATGAACTTCATATGAATGATAAAAAAAGATCAGCTAACTTCACAAACACTGATCTCCTAACATCTATTAAATATGAATTCTCAATAGGATAAGATAACAAAAAATATGTGTATATCAATTACTTACAGTATTTAACTTGTAAAGTAAGCTTCTTAAAGCTAGAATTAGGCAGTTGTTCCCTACCTCGGAAAGGTTTGGGAAATATGCTTATATATTACAGAAAAGAGAAAGGGTATCTTAACCGGTTAAATTGTTCAGTAGTCGAGTGACCCCACTGACGTAATTCCGGAGCTCAAATTTCTTGAATCTTCACAGCTTGGATAATCGTCGCAACTGTTATTGGCGAGCCTCTGAATAGAGACTGAGTTGAGAAGTTCCAAGCCTCGTTTGCCCATCTGCTGCACTTCTTGTGGTGAAAGTATTTTGATACACCACACACTATTCACGAACTCCCTGATATGAAAGATCATCGAAGTAACCAATCAGAAGGAATTCCCATTATGCATGAAGAAAATACCTATCTAAAGCATTAACTAGCTCTAAATGATTTGCTTAAAGTGTTCAAAATGTCAAATTTTCCGTTAGCTTATAATTTGTGCAAATTTACAAATATTCTAATAAAGTCACGTGATTGTTTCGGCAAGTCTAGATTCCAGAGGCAAAATGTAAACCGTGTATTATCAATAAGTAGATGGATAATCAGAGAAGTTACGATTGATGGAACAGATATAAAGCATCATATGAAGTGAAAATATAAGCATGAGCCATGAGGTTCTGGAAAAATGTGTTGTTCGATCCGATTTAGCATACTTTGTAGAAATGTATATGTATGTATCCATGGTTGTCCATATATGCAGCAAGAATCACCATGAAAAGATAAAACTTAACAAAGGGTAATAATCACTGATGTCCTAACAAATATGTGCAACTTAATAGGTAAATGAAGATGACTTTTTTGAAGCTTAAATCTTCTAGTAGGAACGCGTCCAACAAATCAAGGTCAGAAGGATTATCCAGCCTAAAATCTAACGAATATAATGGATATAGGAATGGGAACTCACGGCCAGGGGTCATCCCCGAGCAGAAGAACATCATTCTCCCGGTCAACGAATACAAGCTGCCAGCCTGATCTCACAGGGTCCTCCAACTCGCCTTCAAGGCCAAACATGCGAGCGAGCTCACCGCGCAGCTCATTGTAGCTGCTGAACTTGGTGATATCTAATGACCTCCCGAAGGACCCTGATTTGTGAACCTGTTGACAATCATGATATCAATTAAAACCACATGCTACATTAAGACATCCGTATCACATTAAATAAACCAGAAAAGTAATTACATAACCAGAAAAGTAATTACCTATTGAACCTTCGAAACACCAAATAATGCAATACAAAATAGAAGCAAAATATCAATCAATAAATATAATTTGGGATACGAAGACAACTCACCTTAACAAAGGTTCTGTTTGGGTTGTTTCCTTGGCCTGCATTTTCTGGAGACTGCAGGAAACCCGATTCATCAATGCAGCTGGAAGGTGCTATTGCCGCAGGGTTGAGTGAAAAATTGGTTCCTGTGGTACTCATATAGCTAGAAGAAGGAAACGGTATGGTCGTGGAGTCGCTTTCGCTGCCAACTCCCCTAAGGTTTGATATCCCATTCTGCATTAGAAGAGATGAGGGTTCTATATTAACACCAAATAAAAGATGGCTTTGTGGATCAGTATTCCCTTCTTGGTCAATAGCGCATTCCCTGCCAGGAAAGGGTGGCAATGAGACAGAATTCGGGGAGAGATTTGTCTGTGGTGGCCCCAGTTGTTCCACCTGGGGAAGAGCACACTGAGTAGGTCCAGCAGCAATAAGAGGTTCAACTGCAGCTCGCTTTGATGGCCAGACTGCAGAAGAAAGATTGCTCCTCGGCAGGTTGAGCAGGTGGGACGCTTCATCAGGTGGTGGAAATGAGCCCAAGATACTGTGCAGGGGAGAAACAATACTACTGGTCACAGCAGTACCGTTTGAATCAGAAAAATTTGGTTGTTGGCACATTGAAGAGATGGCTTGCAAAGACGGTGATTGCGATTGAGAAGCTGACAAATAATGAGACATTGGAGAGACTACACTCGGAATCTGCTGGTGATCAACCAGCTGCTGCTGTTGCGACGGCTGAGGCTGCTGCTGCTGCAGCTGCTGATTATTAAAGGAATGCTGATGCTGCAATTGTTGCTGAAGAAGGTGCGGCGGTGTTTGGGGCTGGGGCTGGGGCTGGTTTTCCGGCACACCTTGAAGAAAGGGTTGCTGAGTTTGAGATTGATGCAACATCTGGGGCTGCATTAACGAAGCAGACCTGCTAGGGAGATTTTGGGTTTGTTGGAATTGCAGAAGGGATGTGGGGATTGGTTTTGAAGGATCCACTGCCCTCATTTCTTGGAGTGCAGCAGCAGCCATAGCTTGGTACATATCGGGTTGCAGGCCAAGCATGGAAGCATCAACCCTTGGCTGCATCCACGGCGTGACCCCGATTCCCTGAAAATTCATAGCTTGAAGCCCACGGTCTCCATAATCTCCTCGAAGCCACATAAGTGGAGAGTTCATGCCAAGATCATCTTCCTTGATACCTAAGAATAATGAAGAGTATTACCACACAATGTAATATAAGAAAGCGTTTGCAATAAATTGTAGCATCTGAGAAGGCAGCAGACAGGCATACCATGGAAAGCGGGCAAACCAGGCGGCCAAGGTCTCTTAAGCCTGAGAGGAAATGGTGAGGGGTACATGGGGAACGTCGTTAATGGTTCAATCTCCCACAGGGAAACTCTGGGCTGCCTATCTCCTGCTGTAGACTCATCCCAGCCCACCTGCATTAACAAAGTCAATGAGTCAGCGTTTCAGGCGAAACATTAAGCACAGGAGCAACGTGCCTGAAGGAACATGACCAGAAAAAGAAGTTGATTCCATCATACAACATATTCACGGGGAGAGAGGGGAGAGAGAGAGAGAGAACCAAGTGTTCAAGAGCAAACCTTTACTGAGCGCCAATGTGAATTAGGCCACCGAACAGGATCTAGATCGCCTATGCCAGTTATCGTGCCCATGTAACTGGATCAAAGCCAATTATCAAATATAAAATTTCTACTTAATTCCAATAGAAAAGAAAAACAGATATCATGAACAATCAACTAAGGTCCACTAGTTCACAACTCTTGATATCGCCTAATGGTGCTAAGGGGAATTACCATCAGGGCAACAGTAACAACATGAAGGTTAGGACCTTACCGCCGAACACTAGATTCCTCTGTTTCAAACAGCATTCGAAAGCGCATTCCGACAGAGACACGAGTATGATAAACAGCTTTAACGTACTTGGCCAGGGGAATGACAAATTCTGAAGGGCTAGCCCTGAACAAAAGGTGGCATGGATTAATGTGAAGTGACAAACCCAAATTTACGCAAACAACAAACAGAAGAAAGATCATACCTTGGGTTATAAAAAATGGTGAAACGACTATTCGTTGCAGCTGCGTGAGCAGCAGCAGCAAGAAGGCCCAAGTGCATGCTATCACTTGATAAAACTGATGAAGGCATCACAGTTTGTGGCCTGTTCGCTCGTCGAATGCCAAGGAGTAACTGATTCTTTTCATTCCTGATTAAAGAAATTACAGTCTAGTAAGAATGTAATGGAAAAGAGGAGAAAAAAAATAGAACTTAAAAGGATTCATCTTGTTTGATTGATGCAAGCACAACCATTATTGCACAGCAATTATGAACAAGGTGCATACTAAATAAACATACTACCAGATGAAAAGCACCGAGTCACCGGCAACAAGTCTCTTAGCACTAATAAAAACACTCCACCCAGTTGTAAGGAGGTGCCTTTTGGGCTGGCCTGCAAAAAGGAAAGAAACAAATATTACCAATCTACACGGTGAAATGAAGCCGCTCCTGAAATATGTCTTTGCTGAGTACAGCACAATGTCCACCACACATAATGATAAGCAAAATACATCAAAAGTACCTGGAAATTTTTCCAACGAATCAGATTAAGAAAACATTGATCTATAGTCTTTGAACCTATTTCCACTTTCTTTTTCCAATACTTAAGATAGAAAAACCAAATTTTCCCTTTAAAAAAATATACATTTTGTACAAAGGCTGTGCAAAGAAAAGAAAACTAACCACGAAAGATATGTCTAAATTTCCATTCATTATCATGCAGATCCCTTGCAATTAACTCTTGCGCCGGTGGTTGTTGGGAGAAGTCCTGCAGGTCAAAGTGGAATGCAAAAACCAAAAAGAGATTCAGAATCAAAGTCTAGTTTCATTTTTTTTCTTCATATTTTAATATGAACCAAATTCTCGTGTCACACAAACAAAAGTGTTTCACATGGCAACTAACAATTTTTTTTATTTTTAACTTAACAATATGACTTAATACGTGTGTCTACAAGCTGATTATACTATGCTTACAAAAGTCTATCTATCTATGTATCAGTTTAGTTGCGTGCGGGAAACTCAGAGGGTAAAATAGCCATGTATAGAAAAAGTATGCACATGCTACTTGAATAAAAGTGTCCCACGTGTCCATTATTTTCATTATTTCTCAAGTGTCCCACAAATTATAGGAGACAACTTAAAATTCATGGGCCACACTCCCTAATATAAAGGAAAGAAAAAAATTCAAGCAAAGAAAATAAATAAATAAATAAATAAAAAAGGCAAAAGAGCTACCAAGGGAGGGAACACTTTTTCGGCAGCCCGGCGAGGAACCGAGAATCCTCCATGAGTACTCGTGTCACTCGCCGTCAAGGTTTTACAAAAGTAATTTGTCGGCTGCTTGCTGGGAGTCCCCAACTCTGCTGGAAGGTAGGCATCCTTCTGTTCTTGCTACAGATTAAGGTCATATGAAAAGAGATAAGCAAATAGTAAAGCCAAAAGATAAAAATGGACAACTTGTGGTGTACCGGACTTAGCGGTTGCAAAGTCATCTGTGCATATACTTCGTCTGTCTCAACGTCTGCCTGAAGAAAATAAATTTGAGACTTAGAACCCAGCTTAGCGGGCCGTATCAAACCATAAACTAGCCAGACTAAACAAGCTTACATGCATTGTCACATTATGAAGTTGACAGATAAGCTGTGGAGGTAAGCTAGGGTAGTTAGGAATGTGGGCATCTACTTCCTTGTTCGTCGATGCAGCAACCTACATAACAGCATCAAAACATAATTACGAAAAGATCAAACAGCATAAGAAGCAATAATACTATATCACAATTCACATCCAAATTTCTCCTTTTATTTCCTTCTTGAGAAAAAAAAAAGGCCAAGAATGTGTTTTAATGTGCAAGGATGCTAAACTAAAGTCACTTGGCACAAGCATGAAGTGATAGATTGTTACATCATTTCCCATACAAAATGATAAAAAGGGCAGGACAAAAAACTGGCCTAGGAAAGCAAGGCGTCAACAATCACTTGACACAGACCGAGGCAGACACTTAAGCTGTTTTTACGCTGGTCCAAAGTGTGCTAATAACAACTTCATGCTCATGGTGTAAGTCAAAAAAGCCGATATTTCAAGGTTCTAAAACTTCCGTGGAAAGACTACAATAAGCAAAACGATATGGGGAAAAAAATGTCAGGAGAAAACTTCAAGATAAAACTGAAGAAACAGAAGAGTGAAGTTTTTCACAAGCATATTGATCGCAAGAAATAAAGATTTCCTTACACCTGGAATTCGGAGAAAATATAATGTTATATCCTTTTTTTTTTTTTTTTTTTTTACATAAAACAGAAAATTGACACACGATCTTCTTCAAAATCCATTGTTGAAAAGGAAGGCAAGATAAGAAGGAAAAAAATCAAAATACTAACCTGTTCACTATGACCTTGTGGAAAGTAAACAACACGGCTTCCAACAGCAGGTAGAGAAACAAGAGGACCCGCACAAGCATGCCAAAGCTCAGAATTCAAAACTCTCTTCTCCCCTGCAAAATTCAAGAACAAAGACACATAAATTTCCATAAAAAAAAATAAACACTAACAAATTTGATAGATATGGTGATAGACGGGCTCAGACATGATTAAAGGATCCCCACAGGAGAGAGAAAAAAATCATTTCACAAATATTATAACTAAAGCAAGAAATCAAGCCATCAAATTGAGGAGATAATAGAATCAAGATGCAGCCAAATTAAAGCCGCCGCTTACAGTGAAATTGTAGGAGTGTGAAAATAAAAAATCAACCAAATGGTAGTAAGATTGCTTGTGCATAAATAAATCCAAAGAAAAAAGGATTAAAAATACTCATCAAGAGACCAAAAAAAAAAAAGTAATGATCCAAGTAAATTAAATAATTAGCTTAACTTGGGTCATCAAAAGTTTAATTAATTCAATTCCTGAAATACCACAATATACCAACCCATAACCCAATTTAACACTCTTGAAGGAGAAGAAAATAAATATGTTAATCAAGTTCACTTAGAGGGAGAAGGCCAAGCATACCTTCTTGGGGCTGAGGGCTAAAACCAACTGAAGAGAGCCTCATTTGAGAAGAACTTTAAAAACCACAACTTGGGATGTCAATTTATATATATATATATATATATATATATGAAAAAGCCCAAGTCTTGATCACAAAAAATAAAGCGACAAAAATTCACCCAAACCACTGAACAACAACACCATGACAATATCTTTTTCCTTCACCCACTAAAATCCCAACATACACTCCATGCACCGTCTTCTCTGCAAATTTACGTTGGTGCTAAATATCAAACTCAAACATTTATTCAAAACCCAACAAAACCCACAAGAGAATTAATACCAATCTTCAACCAAAACCGGTTTCACTACAAAACAGGATTGATTTCAGCCTCATGCGCTTGTGATCAAGTAGAAATCCCAATCTCCAACAATCAAACGAAAACCCACCACCAACATTTCAGCTCAAAACTTGGAGAATTTTTTTCTCATAACAGAATCAACTATTGCACAAACCCACTTGAGAAAACGCCCAACAGAGCTAGAACAAGCAACAGAATCACAGATCTCCACCAAAGAACGCCAAAGCTTGAAGAAAACAGATCTCTCGGTTACAGAGCAAAAAAAAATCCCAGAAGGGGAAAAAAAAATAACAGAGCAAAGAGATTATTATTATTCTTCAGAAGAAGACTTTTGAAGGCGCGTTCGTCATGATTACATGTGCGCAAAATACTCGTAAGAGAGAATATTATTGTGCATAATGAAATATGAAAAAAAAAAAAAAAAAAGATTTTGGGTTTTGGGTTTTCAGTTGTGTTTGTGTTTGGGGTTTTTTTTTTTTTTTCTCCTTCTTCTTTTCCACTAATGGAAATGGAAATGGTGGAAGTAGGCAGTAGTAGTGGTGGTGGTGAGGAAAGTACTATACTAGTTTCTTTCTTTCTTTGTTTCTTACTTGGTGGTGACTTTGCTAATACTATGGCTTTACCTCTTCTCTTTTTTATTTTTCTCTCTGCTCTCCAATCAATCAACACACAACCGCCATTATTTTTCGCTCACTTTTTATATAGCAAGAGAAAGGGAAAGTAAAGAAAGAAACACTTTAGAGAGAGAGAAACGTGTCAGATTTTTTGAGAGAGAAGGTTTTTGCTTGCAAATATATTTGCTTTTTTTGCTTTTGCTCTTTTTTTTTTTGAAATAAATTTTTAACGACTTTTTTTTTTTAGCTGATTTAAGACAATCTAGGAAGGAGGATTTGCCCCTTGATGGGGGCAAGTTTTTGCAGAAATACCCCTTTTGTTTGGGAAAATATAATAATATTTTTTTATTTTTGAAATTAAATAAATAAGAAAAAAGTGAGGGAAAATTAAGAAGACGTTTGGTTCATGGATTAGAATCATGTGATTAGAACTATTTTCGATTTACGTGTATTTTTTATGAGAGAAAATACTGTAACGAACTATGAACCATGATTCAAATCATTCAAATCATGGTTTGAATCCTCCAATAAAATTCTTTTTATGTTCACTATTTTTTGTTTTTGAAATTAAATAAATAAGAAAAAAATGGGGGAGAATTAGAATTCTTTTTAAAAGGACATGTAAGTGAACAAGTTTGAAATTTTGACATGCATGGAATGATTAGTTGGCACTATAGAGAAAAAGTATGGTGATAGCAATGTATGCAACTTTGCAAGTTGGTACTCAATCCTACTCATGCATGTTAAGATGGGCCAACACATAGTCCATCTTCAACAATTTCACAATTTGCCCATTTTCCATACATAACCAACTTGAAATTTTTACCCTTAGTGCAAATGGAAACCTAGAACTCATCAGTTTGATGGCTATAGTGTTATCTATGTGAGATTAAGAATATCATAGGGTTCTATATATAACCCCAACCGATGGTGTTGCATTTTAGTATTTTATTGGAAAATAAATTACATATTAGGGGGGTCAAATTAAAAATCAAAATCAATTGGATGGGAAAAAGATATCTTATCTTTATGTCAAAATTGTTCTCACGGTTACCCAAAAGAAATAAAAGAGGAAATATGTATGAGATGATTTGAGAATCTGTATTGATCAAGTCAATGTTTTATGAGAAAGATGGAAGGATAAGGAAGTTTAACATAGCAAGAATTGGGAAGCTATTACCATGTTGGGGTCCTTCTCCATCTATAGTTTTTGGAGTTTAACCTTTCCTGTTCTTGATATGGTCATTGCTATATAATTGACAAAGATATATATGAGAAGAAAGAACAGCAAAAGGATGATCTTAAAATGAAAATGCGTGGATGAGATATTTCATTAAAAGGATAGGTGATAAATAGAAGCATTCCAATTTATTTCTTTCATTAGGTCCACCCAATCCTTGGTTGTACTATGTGGGATGACCCTATTAGAGATATTCAGCTCATAGTGTCCATCTCATTTAAATCACAAGGAGGGATTCCAAACCTAACATGGGACCATACTACATGTTTCATTTTTTCAGTATCTTCCATAATACCACATTGCATCAAGCTTTCCTTCAGTCATTCTTCATTTGTTTTTATTTCATTGTCATGTGGTAGAAATTCATGTGTTCATTTGTTTCTCAAAATTAAGTTGTAAAGTTTATTGTTGGGATCAAAGCTAATCATATAACTAAGTAGTACCTTTGTAGTCTTGTGAATGTTTCTTCCTAGTACTAGTAGTATTATATATTGCTTGTGCTGCAATTTATTCATTAATTTTAAAGCTATATCTATCTTCAAATTAGAATTAAAGACACAATTTATTGTTCTTCCAATACTCGAAGATTTATTGGATAGAAATTATTGTTCAGAACTCAGCTTGTAAGTTACAAGTTCTTTTATATATCCTCAAATCTTTACCATTGGTTTGATATATGTGAACTGAAATTATGTTAAGAGTACTTCATCAAAACCCATGTTAACGTTTGAGGAAAACAAAAATAATCATGTATACTGAGATGGAAATTAGAAGGAATTAATTAGTTAGTGCCCACAAAAAAGGCTTGATTGATAATCATGAATTAAGGTGGAAATTAAGAAGCAGGAGGTAACTTCTCACGCACAATTTGTTTATTATTATTATTATTATTATTTTTGAAATTCTATTTACATTACTTTTTGAAATTAATGAGTGCACTCCGTACAATCAAATACAAGAATTAATCCAATCAAATTATACAAGAATTCCACCGGCGGTATTATTAAAATGCTTTTAAAGCATGCGGTTTACTAATTGGAGAGAACGTTAATAACGCATTTTAAGGATCTGCCAAAGCAAATAAATGCGCTAATAATTAAGCATAAAGAAAGTCAGCCGACCTTTTAATTAATGACTGAAAAGAGTCATTCTTCAACTATAGACAATTGACTAGGCAAAAATGCGTGAAAAATTATATAAAAAGTTAAAAAATTTTATAATATCGGGATTAAGACTCGTTTAGTTCGTTGATTCGAGTTTTTAATTAGAGTTTATATATAATTTTATGTGAGAGTTTTTTATTGTAACAGAAAAAATTAAATGTGATTATTTCTGAGAGCTTTCTACTGTAACAAAACTCGAATCGGTGAAATGAACAGACTCTTAGTTTATATATAGATATATCTATATAATATTTTAGTTAAAAAGTTTCTTACAATGAATTATAACTTTTGTTTTTGTTTTTGTTTTTTCTTTTGTTCTTCTTAACTACAAAATACAAATTTAAAAAAATAATAATAATAATTAAGGATGTTGAAAATATTTTATTATATGTAGTGTAAATCGAAGGATTTAAAAGTAATTATATTACCTTATTTTTTATTATTTTTTGTGTGGATCTGTTGTCTTTGGTTCACAATTAAATGATAGTAGATTATTGATAATTAATATAAATTAATAAATATAAGAACAAATAAAGAAATAAAAAACTAAGGATAAAAGTGTACAATCAGATCATAAGGTAGAAAAAGACCCCAAAGCCTCTGCGCGGGAAAGCCAGTATTCTACTTTACTATGCACAGTAAAACATGCCTATTCTTTAGTATATATAATAATGTGCTATATTATCTTTCGCCAATAAAAGAATGAATGCACAAACGTCTTCTTTTAATTTCAACATGTACAGATAAATACAGGTATAATATATATTTATAAATACGTATATAAACACATATATAAGTTTATAACTTGACATATGCTGTTAGATTATAAACTATGTACGTATGATACATAATAATTTCACATCATGACGTGCCAAACAACGTTAATTATGTTAACGTAAAATCAGAATGTACCGGTTATTTAAGTTAAGCAGTTCAGCTGATCTTAATTACAACCAATTATTGGATTACGCACGTAACCTTTAATTCCACAAATATAATACCATCTAATATATACACATACATTAAATACATATATATGTATGTATGCATATGTATATAATATACATATATATATATATATATATATATGATATATATATGTGTGTGTGTTTGTGTGTGTGTAATTATATGTAAGAACAAGTAATTAGTCACAGGCTCAAAGGGTATCATCAGTTTTAACTCTTAGTTATTTCAGATTAAAATGCCTTTGTTTGAATGAAATGAATTAGTGCCTCTAAGTAGAGATATATGAGGGAGAATAGGTTGTTTAGTAAGAGAGAAAAAAAAAAGTAGAGAATGGATTGAGTGAAGGATTTTAAATCCTTCAAAAACCCCAATTCAATATCTCTTAGAAGAGATAATCCATACCAAACACAGTAAGAAAAATATTTTTTTTCCTGCTTTATTTTCTCGACCATCTAGGTTCTATGCCTTTGTTTCCTTCCTATATTTTTCTTTCCATCTTACCAAACATATAGACACTACCCATATTTTTTATGGTAACTATGCTGAGGTTTAAGGAGCTAACTTTTGGTCCATTTAATTACTGTTTCTTCTACTTTAGAAGTCAAGTTTTGTATGCCAAATTGTTTATACTTGGTTCATCATATGGGTCCCTTGGAAAAAGAATAATGTTTTCAGCTCCAAATTTTCAATATACTTTTGGAAAACGCACAATCAGACTATAGATTTTGCAAGATATAGATGATATATGATCCAGTCATAGATCA